CATGTGTGAAAGTGGCTTACATTTTTCACACAGTCTATTTCTTTGATTGCTATTGATGACAGATTATTTTGAGATCCATGCTTTCCTATGATTAGAGAAGTCATGATGTCTTACGATGAGCTTAAATTATTACTATTTATCTACAAATTTGTGTTATACTTTTAGTAGAGATTGTCTTTGGTTAAAATGTCTTTTTGTTTTGTGTCTTTAACCAGGGTGATCTGACTGTTATTCTCAGCCTGTCTGAACTGTAGACCTGGTGCTTCCTGACTACAGTATCTCACTTCCCTCTTCCTAGGGAGTGCACTTCAGAAAAGTAACTGCAAATTCTCTTCCTGCCCCTTTGCAGTGCACAAAACTTCTTGATTTTTGCCAGTTTCATAATTCATGGATCCATAACTCAAGTACCTAAAGCCACCCTTTCAGCACGAAATTATCAAGAAATGTGCAACACTTATCTTCCCGGTGGGTGCTGTGTGGGAAGGTAGCCATGACTTTGACAAGTGCCAGTTAGCAAGCACAGATGGCCCAGTGACACGGGCTGTCCCTCACTCATGCTGGGTTACTTTGCCACCACACCCACACCTAGTGCTTAAAATATCTGTTTCCGGTGGAGCTGAGTTCAGTCTCTCTTCTCCAGGGTAACAACCTCCCCCATTTCCACAGTATTGAATGAAGCCTCCGGCGTTACAAGTTGAACCCCGTCGGGGGCCAGTCTTCTTTGGCATCATGATTGTGCTACTGTCATGTCACACTTTTGGCAAGGCCCTTGCTGCTTGCCTTACCTGAGGCCGTTTGCAGAACACGGTTAAAGCTGTCTGCAAAGCCAGTCAGTAGCATTTTGAATTTAACTGTCTCTAGCTCATTTACAGTTTCTATGTAGTTAGCAAATTTTGGTCATTGAGACATTTTTCAAGATTGCCTACATCATCTAAATTTTAATCATAATTACATATATTTTAGTACTGTTTCAGCTATGATTTCATAATTCCTATTTTTCATGTAGAGTGCTACATACCACTTTCTATTTTTTACCTATGATTTCCTTTTCTGTCTCTGTTTTTTCCTCTCTTCTCTCTTTCTCTTTTATGTCTTTTTCTTGCCCCCATAACAGTTTTGTTAAAGGATTTTTACATTTTATTAATCCTTCAAAAATTCTCACTGATTGTATGATTTTATGACGCAGATGTGTTAAAATATAAATAAAACTGCGAATTCTGTGGCTTTTCTCTGCATCTCTTGGCCTAAATGCTATTTTAACAAAGAATTTATAACAAATACAGATGTGTAATATTAAATAAATGCATCTACGTGACCAAGTCAAGCACATACAGGCATCTTGGTTAGGGGGTTGTAGTTCAGTCAAAATCTTTTTCTTGTTTAATGCTTGCATCTCTTGCCTATGACTCTTTGAATAAACCTTACTTATTACCATCATAATCTGCACAGTTCCACATGATTTTTACTCTTACCGTCATCTACAGACTCATGCAGAAATGCGTCTTGACTGAAAGCAAAACTAACTAACGAGGTCTGCTGTCCTTCTTCCTCACGCCCAGAGTCGGTAGCACTTACGATGTCAGAAGCTGAGCCGCCCCCAGCAGCACGGGACTGGGAAGCCCCGCCTGCCCCACACGCCTCCCTCTTTCTGGGTGACAGTGCGGAGTGATGGGCAGAATTGGGAAGCTTTCTGGTGAAGATCACAGAGTCTGCTGAAACGGCCACATAACCCAGCCACACCAACATCTACTGAGCGCCTGCCACACGAAATGTTTTCCATCTGATTTGGGATTCGGTTGCATTTAGACCTGAGAGTTGTGTTATTGTGGTTGCTGCTGTTTCTTCCCTTGGCCTGGTCTTACGCTGGTACTGTAGTCCTCCGCTCACCCGGATGACCCCAGACCTCTGCCCCAAGCAACAAGGCACCCTTCCAGCAGGAAATGTCATTCAGGCTCTGGCTGAGTTTATTTCTCATGTTTTCCCAAATCTACAGCTTTGTATAAACGGCGGCCCCAGAGAAGCACTGGCTGCACTGGTTTTTGTTTCGCTGGGTGGAGTGTGGATGCTTTTGCCTACAAACTTGGTTAGCTGCCATGTGATGGCTTACAGTCACTGCTGGCTGCCTGATGTGGTGGCCTTGACAGCACGGGAAGACTCCTGCCCTGCAGTTCTGAGCCAGGAGGGCTCCACGGTGGCTGCTACGTTGCTTTCTGTTTTGCCATTCACCAAATTATAGATTTACTTCTTGAGTGCGCATGGATTTGCCTTTGAAAACTTTATCCATCAACATGTTATTGTTGACCTTAAGGACTGCAGCAGAGTATTTCCATTTTCTTGGAAAATGAAGTTCTGAAAAAGGCAGATTCCATAGTTCTACCACATAATTACTGTCACAGTCTCTGCACGTGAGTCATGAACAACATTTTTATTTTAATACAATAGGCAATTTTAGTGCCTACTCAGACTTAATAGCATGAGTTAGAATATATCTCTACATTTAAAGAAAATATAGTATAGTTATTTAAATGTTATAAGATTAATTCAGCAATGTAGACTAATGCAGCACTGAAATTCACAGTATTGTCATACCACCTTACGCACAATATTCTGTTGGCAGAAATTCAGTCAAGCCTGTTAACAGACTCTGTTTACTGAAAGGAGTAATAAATCATTAACTAAAAATCGTTCTTTTGAAATGGATTTCTATTAGCATAGATTCACTGGAAGTGGGACTCTTCTGCTAAGTGTGAGAGGGAGCGATTCTGTTTAAAATAATAAAAATCTAAGAAACATCACCTCTCACAGAAGAACGTGAAAGGCACTTTGATACAGTGATTATACTTTACTGATAAAATGTCCAAGGACTGTCATTCCCATTCTTGAACTCTGGCTGGCTTTGGGGGCAGAAGAAGAAATAAAAAACCGCTAAATTTCCAAGTACCACTAACATTTCAGTACTTATTGGACAGAGATTATTGTCATTTCATGTGGGAAAACAATAACAGCTACTTAAATATGCGTCCTGCCAGTAAGTTGAAAGCCCAACTTCTAAAATAATAGTAATAGAATGAAACAAGTCTAATGATAGTATTTACTTGATTTTTTACAAACCCTTTCCAAAGTGGAAAGTAAAAATCCAAAGCTAGTGAATGAATATTTAACATAAAAATACATCTTCTTTCATGTGAACAGGCTATTGGTCACCCTGAGTCGGAAGTAGAGACTGGCTCTCTGCTGTGCAAGTGCGGAAAGCAGATAGAGGAGAAGAGAGGAGGAGAGAGAGGACTCCTGATCACAGGCTTCTAGGTATCAAAGACAGAAATGAACAAAAGCAGAGCATTCTTAATCAAAATGTAGGACTGTAAATTATCCCTGGATGTGCCTCAGCTTTGGTATTTTTGTCTTAGGTAAAGCAAAATGAATATAACATCACTGTGTGAATGAATCATTGCCATAAAACCATTTGAATTTAGATTCTGTAAATGTCCAGAATGCTCAATACTGAAATTACATTAAATAAACTAGCATTTAGATAAATCCAAGATAATTTCATTAGATTTAATTAATATCCTCTGAATAACAAAATCTAGCAATGTTTAGGTGCTTATTGGAAATTTAACATAGCATATGTGAGTCCTCTTGTGAGGCAAAGTATCCTAAATATTCCATCATCGTGCCATACTAACAAAATTGTGTGTAGCACCAAAGTACACCATGGGGATGACTTTACAGGTTAAGTTTTGGCTGTGATAATATACGTTTCAAGTCAAGCATAAAGTACTTAATGGATTTGGAGTACTTTAGAAAACATTAAGGACACATGTAGGCTGGAAAAAAATCATATTGTGCTCTGATGTTTCATTAAATAACAATTTTCTCTAACTTAATATTAACTGAAAAATTGGAAAACTCTGGATTAACGCTATGGTGTCTATACACTGTTACATTTCCTAGGCGGTTCTGCACGCAGCCTTCCTTCTTTTAACTGATTCTTCCCTTAATTTTCCCTTCTTGCTTTTCTTCATACCTTTCCCAACTCCAAACATGCTTATACTGGTTCACCAGGACTCCCTTTCTTTTCAGTGAAAAGTAGAAAATGACCATAACTTGAAACACTTCCTGTGAAGTCCTCTCACACTATCGGACAGTTTATCCAGATCGCCTTTGTGGGCTAAGTATAGAAGCAAGCAACCTCTAATTTTGCTACTCACCCTAGGAGGTGTGGTGCATGGTTTTCCAAGTTTTCATAACTTACTAATATGCTCACAAGGAAAAGTTCATAAAATTCCCTTGACACCAAGAATACTAGACAACTGAAGCACAGTGCTATGCCTTCATAACATACGTGGATTAGTTAGAAACTAAATACTATACACTGAAGTTAGCATATTCATTTGTGTTTTAGGGGAAATAATTCGATGTATCCAACTGCGCTGCTAAGGGAAGTCCAGACATGCCCTGTGGCACATTAGGTAAAACAGAGAGCTTCATTTTTAGGAGACTGTAGTTCTAATGCTGGCTCTGCTCCACATTCTGATACCTTTAAAAGGTGCTACAGTAGTCCAGTTTTACTTATCTGTAAAATGAGAGGATGGGTCTTTTACCTCTAAATCCTCCTACCTACAATATTTGTTTGATATTCTATTATAGCTGACCTTACAAAATGGAGAAATTTTAAGCATTTCACCTTAAATATTTGGGTTGTTTTGTATATTTGTGAAATATGGTTTCCTTCAAAGCCCCCACAGAATCCTGTGAAATAACAATAGCATAGGATTTTAAAGCTTTTTTCAGAATTTCTTGCATAGCTACTTGGCTGCTTTCTTGTATAATGCAGAATGTACTGACAGGAAGAGCTCCTTGGCCATGTTCAAAAGCACAAAGACATATGAAAACCATGGTCCTGAAAGTCCAAGAACACAAAGTTTTACCTTGTGGCAAATAATGGAATATGCAATGGGCAGATCAATGCAATTTTACATTTCACTTTACAACATTACCTTTCTCCTTTAGGGAAGCAGGGACCTTCACTTCTTTTTCCTTAATAATCTCTAGAAAGAAATATTGAGAATATATTTACAGCAATAATGTAGAGGTTTGAGAACACATTTATAATAGAGTCAACAAGCTATCAGTGAGCTGAGCTCACTGAGGTGGGAAGAAGTGGTGTTTCTCCATTTTCAACAATGATTTGTATCATCAGCCACAGAGCAACAACCATACACAATACATTAAGCTTTACTCTTATGTTTCATGCTGAGTACAGAGAAATCGCTGTGCAAGTGATAATATACTTGTTTATTTAAGATGACAAACATTTGGAGAGGAACTTACTTCTTTGTAAATTTAGAAAATACCAGACAGGATATAGAAATCTCTTTAAATTATTTAATCAGCACTAATTCAGCTTATTTCTTAAAAACAAACAACGAACGAAAAATACTGCATGCATCATGTAAATGTGGTGCCTTTATCTAGGATTAAAATTAAAATTAAAATTGAGAGATGATTTCATCTGTAAGTCCATATCATGAACTTTAAAAAACCTAAAAATTCAGATTACAGCTAAAATATGTCCAGTAATGCTGTACTGTACCAGTTTGAATTTAATGTGATTTTGACCATGTCGTATGGATGAGCACTATCTTGAATACCCTTATAATCCCCAGCTACTTGCTGGACTCTATTATAAAAGCCTACTATGAAATAGAAGATTAACTTGTTTTCTCTTTCCTCTCCAACATTAAAGTTCTGCATTCACTTTGTAGATAATAATAACTTTTCATGCAATGTGAAAACAGAAAGAAGAAAGCGCTGTACCAACCCAGCACTTCACTCTTGGGTGGGTCTGAAGTGCTGACATTGTAAACAATCACTCTATCAGTGACATGGAACGTGGCTCAGGAGGCACCAGGAAGTGGGTGAGAGGTTTTATGTCAAGTGAAAAAACGCAGGTGCAGAAAGGCAGATTCTGCGTCTAACTCATGGATTAATCTAGAAGACCAAACTGACCCAGGTAGGAGGTGAAGGCCAAGGAGACAGGTGGTGGAGAAAAAGGGAACCTTCACCCTAGGGTACAGCATTTAAATGGTAGAAATAAGCATCAGTAGCCTACTGCACAGAGCGCTGACGGTAGTAAAAGCCAGTGCATTGCACACTGTGAAGCTGCAAAAACAGTGGGTTTTTGAACGCTTTCACACAAAACTGTGGTATAGATTTTTAAATTAGTCTGCTTTCACTGTAAATACATTTCAAGACATCTTGTTATCCCCATAAATATACATTGTTTCTGTTCATTAATATTCAAATTTTAAAAAGCAAGATCCTTCAAAGCAAGATCTGTGTATAGTGTGGAGAATTTTTGAAAGTGGCTTTGGTGGCTTCCTAATACTCAGCTGCTGATGGTGCTAGATACGTATTGGGCAGATTTTTCTGGACTTCAGCATGTGACCACGCAATCAGAAGCCCTGGATGACCTATGTGCACAGGGAAACTCTATTACCTTTACTTCAGAGCTGATGAGGGTAATTTACTGCTCTTGGACCTCCTGGCAGAGGCCACAGAGCTAATGCACTTGAAGTGAGGAGGGCTGGCCCATATCAATTCCCAGTGGGGCGGCCTCCCCTTCCCTCCGGGCTCAGCTGTGGATGAAAATGTCTCTGCTGAAAGTCAGGGTAGAATATATCATCTAGGCAGAGGGTGCCTCCAGGATGACTTTGGCTTTGGTGGAGAACAAAGAAATCGGTACCATAAGAGATGCACTTTCATAAGGGATTCAAAGGCAGTAAACTCAGCATTTCAGCTTTGGAGAAAATTATCAGAAAGTAAAAATGATTTTTGCTTTTAAGCCTGTTAATTTCGAGGTTTCCTCTTGCAAGCTTGCACTGACTCTCCTGGGAGCCTTTCCATCAGGTTTCTAGTTGTAATAGCAGTATTTTTAAGGTTACAATAAACAGGAAGAAAGTATTTTGGGTATGGATAAATAACTAAATTTTTTAAGTGAGTGCAACCTATGCATTTTTTGTTTCCCCTGCCTGCAAAGGAGACATCAGCAATTCACTACATAGACATAGATAATTCCAGTAATAAGTTCTCATTATGATGTTACTGATTTGGGTACCTTTGTCTTTCACATCTGAAGAAGTCTTCCCAGATTTTTCTTTTTTAATTTCTAGAAGAGAGATCGTGAAAAGGAAGGGTTAGAAGGAATAGTAAGGAAAAAACTGCAGTTTCTTCACGTGTTTATTTCTTCTGACACTTATGGGAGCAGAGCCTCTGGTCTGGTATTCAGGATACAGTTGCTAGAGTTGTCTCCTGGGATATTTTGCAATTAAGGTATTGAACTGAAAATGCAAAAAAATAAAACATAAGCCCGTGAATTATTATCACAAGGGGAAGATGACGGCAGTGACAAACTAGGTACAAATGAACTGCTGCGCCTCTGTCAGGTAATCAGTAACATTGTCTACTAACTACTATTAAGCAACGTTCCCCGCTGTTTGTCATTTAATGCTGTCATTCAACAGACCAGGAGATATGTAGGTTTGCTATTAATTCCACTTTTCATCCAAGGCGATTAAATCACTTTCCCAGGGCCATTCCATGGGCAGCGGGCTCTGCACTAACACTTCATGCTGAGCTGCACAGGCGCTGTACCTATCAGCTCAGTAACTGTACGGAGCCGTCAGGACGGGTGGGAAGCACAGTACTGGAAAACAGCTCTTGGAAGGCTGAAAGGACTTTGACTAACACAGATGAAAGAGGAGTTTTCCCAGTGGGGTGAGGGGGAAATAGAGGCACATCTGAGAAGAGGAGAGTGAACTCACAGGACCGGGAGGGCAGCACAGTGGGTGGGCTTGGCTTATGGCTGTGTGAATCAACTTTGAACTATGCACCCCAGGAAAGCCAGGCTGTGGGACTTCTGAGGCTGGTGCCCAGAGACCAGGCTGTTCCCACTGGCTCATCTGGCTCTCATGTAAGAGAATCAAACTGCACCACCATGCTGGAGAAGCCACACACACAGTCACCAGCTGCAACTGCTCTCAGCCCAGCGGCCACCACCAGGGGCCAGCAAGCCATGTGAGCCACCTTGCACACTCAGCAGTGGATGATTTCACACAACTCTCACCCAAACTGACATCCAACTGCAGCCACCTGGCACCAAGTGACCATCGCCTAGCTTATCCTTCCCAAGTACCAGACCCGCTCCTTGTGAGTAAAGTGAAATCAACTGTTCTTTTCCACCATTCAGCCTGGAAGTAGCCTAAACATACAAACAATACACCAAAAAACAGTTACCTAGGCACAAAGTATTGGACTGTGAGATTAATTCTGTATTAGGGACATGCAGGTAAGAGAGAAAGGATTAATAAAGGATTAATAATTAATTTAAAACTGTAGAATGTTTTCAGTGAGAAGATGTCACTTAGTTTAGGTGTATAAATTGTGCAGAAAGGTCACTTAGCTATATAACTGCTTGTGAAATATAAATTTCAAGATTTTTGCTTAGAAGAAAACCTGGATAACTTCCTGGGTTTACAGGAGGATCAGAGCCCATCAACTGAGATCGAGTAGCAAAAAGCACAGCATCTTCGGCTGGAATGTATTTTGGGTCACATGTCAACAAGATACCCAAAAAGAAGAGTCTGGGAAGCAATGGAAAAAACAGAAGAAGTTCAGACTGTATGTGAGGTGTCCAGAACAGAGCAAAAGCCTTATTTTTAAAGGAAACTATCTTTACCCTGCTAACATATTAACCACCCCCCGTTTGTACTGCTTGCTTCACAGAGACTGACCGCACTCAGTGAATAAGTTTTTCACGTGAAACTTAAAGAAACCAAAAAGCTAAAATATTGTTTCCTTGAAGACACATGAAAACTTTGAATAAAGAAAGATAGTAAGACTGAGGTGCTCAGATGCAATGTTTTACCTGCATCTTTTAAACTCAGTGTCAAAACAATTAAAAAATAAAAAAAGGTAAATCCAGAGTCAAATAACTTGCCCATATTATCGTTTGAATACTCAAATTAGCAACATTAGTTTTATGAATTGTATGTACCATTGACAGATCTTTAAAAATAAAAAAACACATAAATGATGATCAAATTGCTATGCTAATTAAGTTTTAACTTTCCAGATTAAAATACATTTCTTTGGGAATGAACATATACAAGTGCAGTGAACCCAGGGATTTATTTTTCAAAATTTTTCAGTTAATAGCCTGAATACATTTAATTAAGAAAGATAAATTGCAAGCCAGTCTTTTCTTTATTTTCCTAAGAAAAAAGCAAACAAATAAAGGAACAGAATGTTTTGTAACAGAGCAAACATCCAGAGAGTTCTCCTCTGGCATAGACAACCGGAGACAGGGAGTTTTCAGACATGTTTAAGGAGACTATCATGGATGGCACTTATGATCACTCATTGTTCTGTATGCTCCAATCCATATCAGTTTTTATCAGTGATGTTTTACTAGGCTATTAACAAAAACGTTTTTATTAGACATCCTGGCTTGATACTCATGTCAGATAACTAAAATGACAAAAGATTGGGAATTGGAAGATTTAAAAGATCTTGGCGTGATCGTTAGGTAGTCGAGGGCTTTGAGCTGAGTAACAAACCAAATTCAAAATTCTTAGCCTCTCATTTCCAGTTTGCTCTACTGAAGGGCTCAGAAATATTATTTCAAAAACTATCTTTAAGTTATTTTAGAGAGACATTGATAATTTGAGGATTTTTTAAATGACTATAATGAGTAAAAATAATGCACTAAAAGTTTTAAAAAATTTTTAAAAGAAAAGAATATTTTTAAGTAACCAAAGAAACAGCTTTACCCCAGGTTTAGTGATAATTTCTCAGTGAGTACTAAGTCTGTGTCTACCAGCCAGCACTGGAGTGTTCATTTTCTTTGCAACATCTTCATGCTTCTTCCTTCATTATGCTGCACTGTTTATAAGGTTTTTAAATTGTGCTCAATTAAATGATTATTTTAATATTTCATATATGAATACCTAACGTGAATTTGTCAATATTTTATATTAATTTGGAAGTCATTTGGATAGAGGTGTGTTTAAAAAGCTACTTTATAATATTCTTCTATGTAGAACTGCAAACTCCAAACTCCAAAACTCCAAAATATAAATTTTATAAATCAACATAGAGATGTTCAAATTAAATGTTTTTCAATATTGTGATCATAAATATCATGAAGGGAAATCAAATATATTGCTTTTTTATGTAAAGCTAATTTTAAATTCTTTTGAGAAGTCCCCAGAAGCTACCCGTGAACTTTTAATTAAGTGCAACTTGTTTGAAAACCGTCCTTAACTTTCTCTTTGTGCTATTTAGTCATCCCATCCTCTATTTGTTAAATAGTTACTCATATTTGTACTTTTAAAACATATTTTTCCTAAATATTTATTCAAAATTTTTTTTTACATTACAGCATTTCTAATTCACTTACATTTACACACTGGTGTGCTTTTTACCTTTGCTACCCTTGTTGGATTTATATTATAAACATTTAGTTTAATTTATAAGGATAAAATTTCATAACTTATGCTGTCCTCTACCTCTGGCTGGACAATCCTACTAAAAAGCACAGATTAAAATCTGTTCGAATGACTGACTACCATCCGTACCTAAGAGGCTGTGTGAGGTATTTACTCCACAAGTGTCTGTAGAGGCAGGAAACCAGATTGCTGCCTTGAGTTAAATTGTGTCCACAGAGCAGGGAGGTGCAGTGAGTTTTAAGGCACCATTTACGTAACAGCATTTGGCACTTACCAAATGCACCTTCCCACTGAAGCACTGAATGTTCTAGACAAGCAGGCGGCACCTGCGTGCTGAAGCTGTGATGCGTACCACGACCCAAGAAGTCAGCCGACTGGTAGGCACAACACTGGCCTCAACGTGGACCCCACAGTTATGGGGAGAGAAGTCCTGAGTTTCTGCCTCCTCATTCCAGCTCTCTTGGCAACTTCTCCTTACAGGGGTAGAGGTCTGTAGATTTTATCTAAGCTGAGGGTCCTCTCCTGAACTCATTTAGGGACGCTCTCTTTTGATTAATTTGGAACCAGCTTTGTAACAAGCCTACTTTGTAGCTCTGTTTCGTGGCTGCCTATGTGGCTTTGAAATTGTGATCACCATTACACACGAGTCACGAGAACACTAATGGAAATTCCAAAGGCTTCTCACACTTGGCACACTTGATGTCACACTTGGCATTTTAATTCATCTCTCTCCCTCCAGCTCTTTGAGAAAGGTTGGCAATGTGTAATGATTTCAGAAATAAATTAAGTCAGTCCTTTCATTTGATAAGGAATTAGAGACATGAGTTCAGCGTCTGTTAGCATTTAGGAAATGAGATACAGTAGAGCATCACAGGACAAAGTGAGTGATGGAGCGCACACCTACCACCATGGCCTGTTTTACAAGAAGTATTCGTGATAAAATTTTCTTCCCATAATCATGGTACATCTAAGATGGCAGCTCCATGTTTGGATCAAGCAAATAAGGGCAGGGCTAGGTCCTGGTCATTCTTGCATCCACATGTCTTGATGGAGCACGATTTTGTGCGGTCAGGCATTGCTACCCCAGGTCTTCTCTCCACATGTGTGTCCAGGGAGGTCGGGGTTACTGATGTGGGAAGGGAAACAGAGGGCCAACCTGAAGCCAGAAGACCTGGTGGAAAAGTGCCAGCCGCCCCGCCCTGTGCCCCGAGGGCCTAGCACCAGAGCATGATCCACAGTGTAATCAATAGTGAATCTTCAGAGCCGCTTGCCTCAACGGCCTCGCGGTGGCCACTGCTGAAGCAGTTACTATGTTGCCTTCCGGACATCAGCAATGAAACAAGCCTCTGTCAAATAAATTAATAACTTTGCCATGTCTTGGGCTGACCACCTTTTATCAGGGAACATGCAGTCTTCACATGAAATTCTACCCTCATGGTCAACTTTCATTGTCAAGTATTTTCTGGTGTAAGTGTTAAGGAAACTTAAATTATCAATAGTTAATAGTTTCCCTGGACAAAAAGGAAAATTACACATATATTTTATCCTGATATTTACCGTGTTTATTTTGAACCTGTGAAATTTGGAGTGAATTTTTAAAATTAAATAATCTCATGTTTATATTTAAAAGTTTATGTAAATCTTTTTTTAATAATCTGTA